TTTGTGAGAAAAAAAGTAAAATGATTATGAGATTTGATGTGATATTTTGTTTGAATTTATTTTTTTAATTTTGTAACCAATTTATTTTTTAGTAAAAAAAACCAAAAAAAAAAAAAATCATTTCCAAACACCCAAGTTTGCTGCACAGAATTGTAATTTTCCTCTTAAACTATGACATCTATTTTTTTATTAAAATGCGTAATAATTGACATACTAAAAAAAAGTAGTCCAATAAACTTAGTTAAAATTTAATTAATTCTAAGTCATTTTTCTAATACATTTTACATATAAAATATATTATCATATAATTATAAATTTTAATTTTAATTACTTATTTAAATTTAAATTTTAATTACTTATTTAAATTCACGCATAACATAAGTATTATATTAGCGAGGTCTTATTTGGAGTACTCTAAAAAAGTTAAAAAGTCAATATCTTATTTAAGTCACATTCAGCTTGTTTGTTTTCATTTTTCAAAAAATACTTTTCAGAAAATTCTACTTTCTTATTTTTCGTATTTTTTTATTTCTATTGAATTTTTTTAATATTTTAAGCAGTTTTTTTACTTTTTAGACATACCTAACATAAATACACCTAAAAAGTAAAAAAATTGTAAAAAAAATCTTTTAAAAATTCACTAAATACCAAAAATACAAACACTTTTCAGAAAATTATACTTTCTTATTTTCTGTATTTTTTTGTTTCTATTGAATTTTTTTAATATTTTAAGCAGTTTTTTTACTTTTTAGACATACCTAACATAAATATATTTTAAAAGTAAAAAAATTGTAAAAAAAATCTTTTAAAAATTCACTAAATACCAAAAAATATAAAAAAAAAAATACAAAAATTCAGTACATTTTTTGTATTTTTATGTATTTATTAATTTTTTAAAATATTTTTCACAAATTTTTTACTTTTTAGATAAATCTAAGTAAGGTGCATCTAAAAAAATAAAAAAAAATGTTTAAAATTTTAAAAGTAATCACTAAAAATAAAAAAACACAAAAATCAAAAAACTCAATTTTCAAAAAACTTAGGCCTAGTTTGGGAAGACTAAATAAGTGCACTTTTTGATTTTTTATGAAATATGGGTTGGGTTTGGATTGGGTTTGAAGTGATGTGTTAGAGAGGTAATGTGACTTAAATAAGATGATGCGACTTAAATAGGATAGTAACTTTTTGACTTTTTATCTTTTTTTAATAATGTCAAACTTGGCCTTAATCTAGAAAACTCAAACCAAACACACTGATTATCTCTCTATCACATCACTTCAAACCCAATTTATACTCAATTCATATTTCACAAAAAATAAAAAATTTCACTTATTTAAATCATCCCAAACCCGTCTTAAATAAATAACCACAATAAAAGAACGGGCTTCAGACTAAACTACGGCTGAAGCCAAGTAGGACCCGCGCAATTGACCATAGGGCCCCCACAAAAAACCCACGCCCAATCTGATAAGAGCCCAAATTTGGAACGAAAATCATATGACACTCCTAGCATGCCACGTACGGCCCGCTATTGGACTTGATCATCTTCATGACCGTCGGATCTGAGCACAACTTTGACTTTCTCATGACAAGGACCGAGTGGACGTGGTGGTGTGTGGGACCCGCAGAGGAAGGGGTTGGCCGTCAGAATCTTCAAAAGGCGGTGCGCGTAGCATTGTACGCGGAGACTGGTAAAAAAACGATGGAGCACCGAACGGTGAAATGGTGAAGCCCACCTCCAGCCATTGGGGAATGAACAGGTGGACTAGTTAAAATATGACGCGTACGATGCACACGTGTACGCCACGGCGAGGGGATAAACAGCTGGTTGTCGAGAGAGTCGGTCATATAGGGCGGCTCAAAGCTGAGGCTGACAAAAGGGCCTTATCATCTTCAACTTGTGGGGTAGTAGGATACCTCCGAATTTCCCAATTTACCCCTCTAAAGAAGGTTTAAAACAATAAAAATTGCTGTTCTTTTAATAAAAAATAAGATGGTGGGACATTACCACCATTTTACATTGATATATAATTTTTAATAAAACATTATATTATTATAAGGGCAAAATTGATTTCTACCGAATTGAATCCAGCTTTTCCACGTATGTTGTTTGGCATTAGGTGTTTTTGTTAGTGATTTTTTACTGTTTTAACTTTTTTAAAAGTTGAAAAGATTAATGTATTTAGAAAATTGTTAAAAACAGTTATTTTTTGAGTCAAAAAAATTAAATTCAGCTTGTTTGGTTTCGTTTTTCTTCGTTTTTCTGAAAACAGTTTTCAGAAAATTCAACTTTCTTATTTTCAGTGTTTTTTTTATTTTTAATGAATTTTTTTAATATTTTAAGATATTTTTTTAATTTTTAGATATACCTAACATAAATATACCTTAAAAATAAAAAAATTGTGAAAAAAACTTTTTAAAAATTCACAAATACCAAAAATACAAAAAAATACGAGAATTCAGTACATTTTTTATATTTTTATGTATTTAATAATTTTTTAAAATATTTTTTCACAATTTTTTTACTTTTTAGATACATTTAAGTAAGGTGCATCTAAAAAATTAAAAAAAAATTTAAAATTTTAAAAATATTCACTAAAAACAAAAAAACACGAAAAATAAAAAACTCAATTTTCAAAAAACTTAATGCAGAGAACTACAAAAAAAAATATGAGAATTCCGTACATTTTTTTTTATTTTTATATATTTAATAATTTTTTTAAATATTTTTTCACAATTTTTTTACTTTTTAGATACATTTAAGTAAGGTGCATCTAAAAAATTTAAAAAATTGTTTAAAATTTTAAAAATATTCACTAAAAACAAAAAACACGAAAAATAAAAAATTCAATTTTCAAAAAATTTAATCCAGAAAATTCAAACAAAACACACTGATTATTTTTATCAATTTTAATTGATGACAAATAATTTTTATTTTTTAAGTTATTTAAGTTACTTATTCAACCAAAAAAATATGCTTTTAAGTGCATTCCAAAATAGTTATTATGAAATCTGTTGATCCAAAGGCTAGTTTGGTAGACTAAAATTAGTGAAAGGCTACTATGCATGAATTTTTTTAATTATAAATTAATATGGTGCATAATGGCACACTTTAAGAAAAGGATAAACTATCAATAGGTCATAATAGTTGGACTTAATTCTTATTAAGTCTTATTGAAAATAAATCTTGGTAAAATTGTCAATAAAAATATTTTTTGTGACGATTTTTTACACATGTTGCTAAAAATTGATAATTAATTACTTTTTTTGTCATGATTTTTATAAATAGTCGCTAAAACTTATAATTAGTGTCATTTTTTTGTGACGAATTTTTTAAATTGTCGCTAAAAGTTGTGAATTAGTGACACTTTTTTGTGACGATTTTTTTAAATTATCGTTAAAACTTATAATTAGTGACATTTTTTGTGACAAAATTTTCATATTGTCACTAAAAATTAACAATTAGTGACGTTTTTTTAATAGTGTCTAATGAAAAATGCTATTAATTATCATAGAACTTATTGGATAATAAGTCTATTTATTAGGACCTACACATAAGTTCTCCTTAAGAAAACTCTTAATGTTTATAATTTTATGATTATTTTATGAATAATGTGATTTTTATTAAATCTTATGCATCGAGCAAAAAGTAATACTTTTTGTGATGATGAAAATTGTATTTTGTAATTTATTATGTTTTTTTGTAATATAATATGGAAAAAAAATTATGTACACCCATTTAGAGGTGCGCATAACAGTGTTTACCCTAAAATTAATTACAAACTCAATTAATCAACTTATAATGCAAAATTTGATGTCAATTGTCGAATTAACATTTTATTTCTTGGCTTACAACAAAAACCAGTACACGAAATATCCACAAATAAGTGATCAATTGAGTAGTTGTTGTTGTTTTGTGTGTGTGTGTGTGTGTTGCCAAACAACTTACACACACAAAAGCTTATATATACTAGGAGAGTATGAAATAAATGAAAAACAAGGAAAAAATAATTATAAATTAATAAAGTAGGTGTCCTGAGTTATTTTAGTATCTAAAACTAATTTTAATTCAAAAAATGCTGATTGAAGGCAAATATATTTAAATTAATATGTTGAAAACAAATTAATATGTAGATACTTAGGTGTAGGGGTGTGCACGGTGCGGTTCGGGCGGTTTGAGAGTAAAATTACAAACCGCATGGCGGGTTGGCGGATTAGTGGATTGACAATTTGCGGTTTGGACGGTTTTTGGCGTATTGACGGATTGAAGAATATTCTAACTAATTATCATACAATTGCATAATATATAATACTAATTTGTATAATATTTTTAGATATATAACACAATGTAATTTTAAATAATATGTTTCATATATATAACCACTAATTTATAATAAATTTTATATTTTAAATCTCTCTTACACTCATTTTTACATTGATATTTCATTGGAGGTTAAAAAATATATATGTATTAACTATAGCGGAGCAGAGCGGAGTAGTTCGGTTGGCGGATCATAAATTTTAAAATTTAAACTACGGTTAGCGGTTAGAGTGGTGCAAATAGATGTGGATCGGTGCGGTCTTAGCGGATTGGGCGGTATTTTGCACAGCCATACTTAGGTGACACATAGACAAACATGAGACGTAAATAAATAGATGAACATATAGATAACAATTAAACAAATAATCATATTTGTTCGCTAGATTGACTCCAAAACTTCTCTCTCTAAAAACCTCTATTTTCTTTTTTTTGAAAACCTCCATCTCCGGCCTCTTTTTGGGCCGGCTGGCCGCTGCCTTTGGCGATGGCGGTCGGCTGGCCTAGCTTGTTCTTTTCCTTTGCCTTGTCAGTTTTTTCATTTCAATAAACTTGAGTCTCCCGTTTTCATCCCTCCTTGGTGTGCTTCGTTGCTGCGGGTTAGTGGTTGGTGTGTCCAGGCTTTGTCTTCAGTTTGTCCTCGTCTGCTTCAACCTTGCTGCATTAGCTGTTTCAGCAGGGGCTTCCACCCCAATCTCTCTCTACAAATCTGAACTTTCTATCTCTAAAATCCTATATCGATTTTTCTGAAATTATGGCTCAGAGGACAGAGAAAGAGGAGACGGAATTCAAGGTCGTCCCCGAAACATTAACCCTCTGCGTCAACAACTGCGGCTTCACCGGCAACCCCGCCACCAACATGATGTGCCAAAAGTGCTTCAACGCCTCCACCGCCACCACCTCCGCCGCCGTTTCCGGCATCGTGACTCCTCAAAAATATTCCGCCTCCGCCAGATCTACCTCCTCTCGGTCTCCGGTGAGGTCCTCCAATCCTGCGGAGACCGATCGGGCTTCCGTGGCTGATGGATCTCAGGCGGTGGGGACCAAGAGGGAGGTGAATCGGTGCTCCGGTTGCCAGCGAAAGGTCGGTCTGACTGGATTCCGGTGCCGGTGCGGCGAGCTGTTCTGCGGCGAACATCGGTACTCCGACCGCCATGATTGCAGCTTCGACTACAAAACGGCGGGCCGAGAGGCGATCGCGAGGGAGAATCCGGTGGTCAAGGCTGCGAAGATCGTTAGAGTTTGAAAACGAACATATACATACATATATTTGAAATTCGAATGGAATGAAATGAAATGAAATTCAGAGATCGGAGAGGCTCGATCTATCATTGTTCTCTCTCGCACAGATGATGAGCTCTCTACATAGAGAAGTAGAGAAGAGAGATTTGTTTAGCCATGTGCAAGATAATTATGATGATAAATGATGATGAAATTTCTGAATTCTGTGTGCGTTGTTCAATCTATGTCTTTGCTTTGTGTTCTTTGTTTTTATCAAAGAGATTATTCCTCATGATATTTATTTACTTTTGCCTCATCAAATTTTTTCTTTTTTGTGAAAATTTCTCATGTGTGCGAATCTGTTTGGTTGCTGAGAAAATGGTAGAACTTTGATGAGTATGCTGTTTGTGGTTGCGTGTCCATAAGAAATGAATCGTGAAGATTCATGAACGAGAAAGTGCTTATCTGATTGAAATTTTCTTTCTTCTTTTGGGGAGAGGAAAATGCCAAGAAATTTTGTGATATTTTTTCATGTGATTGTTGCAAAATGCACATCATGACAGCTACGAGAAAAGGGGGAGGGTGTAAATTTTTGGAAAGGTTCGGGGGCTAATTTGTCAATTTAAGTTTTCTGTATAAGGTTGGAGTCTTGTCATTGATAAGACAGGTTATAAAGTACTGTAAATTGATGGGGTCCACCGAGAGTTGTAAGTGTAATTCATCTCGTGGTTGATTGAAACGAGACGAATCGGTGGTCAAATCAAATTCAATTTTCTCCTCTCGATAGTTTGGTTTGTTTGGGAAAAATTTTTTCAATCTGATTTTTTGAATTTTTCATTAAAGGCTTGTTTGGAGTAAATTAAAAAGTAAAACGTAAAAAAATTATTAAAAAAAATTAAAAAAGTTGTGTACTGTTTACGGGTTATTGGTATCGGGGGAATAGTTATTAGGGCAGAGTTATTATTATGCTTTTTAAATTCAATTATTTAAAAAGTTAAAATTAAAAAATTAAAAGAATAAAATTGTGATTTTGATATTATTATATATTTTTTTATAAATAGTTAAAAAGTTATTACAAATATTTTTTTTCTCTTTTTTTTTAATTAAAAAGTCAAAAAATATATTTATATAACACATGCTAAAAAATTACTTAATCTAGTTAAATTAGTTTCGTTTGAAAAAAAAAAAATTTGACTTTTTTATTTTAATGAAAAAAATAAATTAATTATTATTTAAATATATATTTTGTCTTACTAATTTATTTTTATTTTGTCTTTTTTGGATTTTTTTAGTCCAAATTCATTTCAAACCAACTTTCCAAGCGACAACTTGGAAAAAATACTATAGTACACAATAATACACACATGTGTATCATATACTAAGTTCTCGTTTGAGAAGCAATTTGTTTAGTCAAAAAGTCACTAAAAAAATTAAAAAGTCAACAATTCATACTAAAAAATCAAAGGTTGTGTTTGGTAGAGTTTTATAAATATAATTTGAGTGTATGAGTTGTATTTTGAGTTTGTGAGTTTTGAAATTGTGTGGGTGATTTTTTGACCACACTGCCCGCTTAGTAACCAGCTGGAGAGCACTGGCAGAATAGATGGCACCCGACTGACCTACAACAGAAATATAAGAATCCCGCGGTGGTTTCGACCACCCGGGGCACTCCGACGATCAAGTCAGTACTCAATATCTCTCAAAGATAATCAATCAACTATTCAACTCACAAGCTTGAGTATAAAAATATACCTTAGACCCATGGGGGTGCCTCTCTTTTATAGCCAATACAATCCTAGTCCCAAAAGGAGCCTGACCCTAATGGACTTAGGATTACTGCTAATCTGGGACTCCCAGTGGGATTAGGATAAACTCTCTAAGAGTCTTATTTTTACCCAACTGAAGTCTTCTCCCAATCTAGGACTCTTGTCCATATCCAAGTTGAGTTCCCTCTCCATTCTAGGACTCTTGTCCCTTATCCGCTTATCTCGGATTCCGACATCTTCGGAGGCAACCTCAGCCTAGCCGAGATGACCTCGGCACAACGACCAAGACACGTGGCACCTCGGCTGACACGTCGGCGTCACTTTGCCACGTGTTGGTACTCAGAAAATATATCCCCACACCACTAATTTCATTAATATCAAGTTTTCACCGTCTAATGTTTCTCGGATATCTCCGGAATAATCATTTTAAAGTAAAAATTTATAAAAAAAATTACATCAATCAGTGAATCGATTGGACATTTGCTTGATCATCTACTCAGTCAATCAGTATTTTGATTAAGTGGTTATTTGGCATGTTTTAAATAAATATATTTTTGATTAAGTGATTGTTTGGAATGTTTTAAATAAGCATATTTTTTAACTTTTTAAATTAAAAAGTTGAGGAAAAAAGATGATTGTTTGGGATAACTTTTTATCTTTTTACAAAAAAATATGTATTAAAATATTGTATAAAATAACAAAATTACCCCTATGTCCTAGACTAGTGTAGCTGTGTTGATTTTCTCTCTCTTTTCATTTTTTTTTAATTATTTTTTTTAATATAAGTGTGGCTTACATTGTGCCACGTTTTGCACTTTTATGAGAAATTGTGGCTACTGCGGCAATGGCTGCACAGCCAGAATTGTTTTGAATTTTTTTTGATATTTAGATATGTTTTGTTGAATGGATTAGAAATTGGTTTTGTTGAATGTATTTGGTTTATATTTTGGATTAGTTGATG